TTTAATTAATTTGGAATACCTTCTTAATTTATTGGGAAAGATCGTCATAATAAAATAAAGTAAAAATAGGTCTTTTATTTGAACCTCATGTTTTTAATGGAACTGGAACACATTTGTACTCATTTGGAGAAATTAAAAATATTGCATTTATGCCATTATATAAATTATTACTAGCTTAGTTATACTGACCACTAACTAGCTACTATCCTATTTACACTTTTGTTTGATAATAATCTGTGTTTCCTATTGGCTATTTTAAGCATGAGCAAGTCTATTTAACTAAGTTATCATATATTATATATTTATTAAGTTATATATTCTTGCTCAAATGAAAATGTAACTAAAACTCTAGTGTTTATATAATGTCATAATAATGTCTAGTGTTTACATAATGTCATAAGATTCAATATACATGTATATATATATATATATATATATATATATATATATATATATATATATATATATATATATATATATATAATAACAGGCCCGTACCGTAGGGGGGGGGGTGGTCGTTGGGTGCCTCTTTTTATGCAAAGTGCCTTTTTTAATTTGACGCCAAAAATTATTTCTTAACTCTTTTCGATGTCAAAATATTTAATCAAAATTTTTATGATAATTATTTGATTTTTATGAATCATTCTCATGAAACAATTTTTACTTTATTGTTTCACTAATGTAAGGCGTCGTTAAAAGTTATTGCATTGCAAAATCTTTAGTAAACGAAAAATAAAAATAGTCTCTCCAGAGTTGATTCTGTAATTACAATTCTCTAATTCAATTTTAAAAGCAAACGATAGAGTTAACATGTCTAACCAAATTAGGAAACGAGCAGCTGATAGAAAAGAGCTTCAAAATGCTGCAAAGAAATACAAATCGTTAGCTGGATATTTTAAGTAAAAAAGTTATTTTGATCTTCTTTTTATAATAATTAGTTTGATTACTTTGATATTAACTAAAAATAGATATTAACTAGATATAGATATTATCTACACGTTAAATTTTTTTATGATAGTACTTTTGTTATTACTTGTTTTTTATTGTAATGTTTACGCGAGTTTTTTTTAATTTTGGTATAGTTTAAAATCTTTAAGTTTATTAATGATTACCAACGTTTCAAGTATTTTTTATTATCGACAGTTCTCAAAATATAACCGATGAAACATTGCCCGAAGTAGAAGAAAAAGAGGATGTCACTAAAGATCATAATAATGTTAACAAAAGCTTGTCATGCGAAGTAGGCCAAACAAATTTAAAAGAAGCCGATTTTAAAGAAGAAGAAAAACGATATGATATTTTTTTTTTTTTTAAGTTGATTAAGGTGCCCTAAGAAGTCCTTACGGTCATATCACAGAGCACCGCGGAAGAGCTTTTAATGGGAAGTTCACGCCTCCTTCTCAACCGATGTCGAAAAACTTGCACAGAGGTGGGGTTTGAACCACGGGTCTTACTTTCTGAGGCAAGTGCGCTACCACTGCGCCACGGCTGCATATTGACGCACTCTTGCGCGGAAATCAAGAACTATCACCATATGAATTATACAAAATGTTTACGAATAATTTAAAACAGAAGATACATTTTCAATTTCCCAAAACATTAAAACATGGTTGCAAACGCGCTTGTAAATGGATTTGTCTACAGCAAAAATGAAGACGCAGTGCACTGCATATACTGCACTTTATTTCTAAAGCAGGATAAAAAAAATCTTTGGGAACTTTTGTTAACCGCGGATATAAGGAATGACACAATGTTTTAGAGAAACAAAAACTACATATAGGCAATAGATACTATAAAAAAGCTATCGAACAAGCTAATGACATTTGTTTTTGTTTTGAAGATCCAAGGCAAACCATTCCATTACAAAGCAAAAGTACTTTAAAAAACTGACAACAAATGTACCCGAACGTTGTTGAAACAAAAGGTAGAATAACGCATTTGATGAGAAAACAAGGACTTGCTCGCCATAACGCTGAACTTAGTGCACATATACTAACACCATTACGCAAAGATGTCAGCTACCTTGGCCCCAAGAGTCAAAATGAATTAATTGATATAATTGTAAAGAAATGTATACAAGAGCGGCTAATTAATGAAACTAAAGCTGCAAATTACCATTCAGTTTCAGCAGACGAGGTAACAACTGCAAACCAACAAATTCTATCAGTATGTATGAGATACGTAAACGGAGAAAAAGAAATTAGAGAAGTATTTCTTGACTTTTTGAATCTTGACAGGATAACAGGGAAACATATTGGATAAAGCTTGATGAAATTTTATAGCGAAAGTAGAATTGATCTTAGTTCTTGTAGAGGCCAGTGTTACGATGGCGCAACAAACATGCAATCTGTAAAAAGAGGTGCCAGCTACATTTTAAAAGGATCGCCAAAAGCAATTGTAACACATTGTAGCTCACATAATTTGAATTTATCAATTGCTGCAACATAAAAAATACCAATCATTGATAATATTTTGAAGGTATACAGAAATATATCCATTTATTTCAATACCTCTCCGAAAAGAGAGCGCTTGCTGGAGTATGTTGCAGAGATCTGCTGTAAATCAACTGAAAAAAAAACAATTTTGATAGGGATGTGCAAAACAAGATGGTCAGAAAGAGATGCCGCATATGAACACTTTTATTTAGCTATACCATTTATGGCAGATTATTTTAGGAACACACTCTTAATGCACTCACTCAGTTCGAATTCATAGTTTGTATTATAACTTTGTACCGCTTACTTCACCCGTTGTCGTATATAACAGAGAGGTTAAAAGGGCGCACAATTGATATTGTGTAGGCTTTCAGTAACATTTAAGAAACGATCGACTATTTGAACCATCTACGGAAAAATGTTGAAAAAAGAAACTTACGCAATTTACCAACAAGCTACTCGTATGGCAAGTAAATTATTTGTAGAACCAACGATTTCCAGAATCACTATGAGACAAACCTACAGAAATAACGTACCTGCAGAGAGTCCCCATGAATATTATAAACGGGTCTTGGTTGTACCTTTTCTCTACACTATCATTTCAGAAATCAAAATACGATTCCAAAAGACAAATTGCATTGCTGCTAAGGTTTTATGCTTGGTTCCCTCAATAATTTGCAGTAAGGAGATAACTGCTTTCCAGGAGTTAGTTCAAATGTATAAAAGTGATCTTCCAAACTCAGAAGCTGTAGATCAAGAATTCATGTTTTGAAAAGAAAATGGTCTGTTATTAAATCCGAGGATAGGCCTAATACTCTAAATAAAGCCATTGAAATCTGCGATGAAAATCGATATCCTAATCTCTTTGAGCTTCTAAAGATCGGGTGTACACTACCCGTAACGTCCGCAGAATGTGAACGCAGCTTTTCTGCAATGCGAAGATTAAGAACATGGTTGAGAGCCAGTATATGACTGCAGATAGACTTGGTTCATTAGCCATCATGAATATTCATTGCAATGAAATTGTTGGTTATAAACAAGTCTCAAAATTATTTTTTACTTTACATCTTAGAAAATTGTATGAAAAAAGTTTAGTTTTTGAATAAAAATTTAAACCATTTATCAAAGAATTATTATTCTATGTATCGATCCCATTTTTTAACAAGCAGCTTGCTTATACGCCTATGGAGTATAAAAATAGAAAAAATATTCGGAGAACAATAAATTCGTTTATGTAACCATTAGTTACACAAATATAGCTATGTTTCACGTAAATTTTGTTAAGTAAATTTAGTAAGATAATGGTTTGGTGTTTTAAAACTGCCTTTTTTTTTTCAAAAACGAACCCCCTTAAAAAATTTCACGGTACGGCCCACTGATCTCTATAATAACTGGATAGCCCATCTCCTAATAAAATTTCGAAATTTTTGAAGCCAAAAAACGCCATATTGGAAAGCCCCAGAATTTATAAATCCGTAGTTGCGTTAAACTTATTTGCGCTTAAAACACAGATTTCGCTTGATAAATAAAAAATCCAAAAACATTATAAATGCATTGATTATTAAAAACCGAGTAAATCTGATATTATGTTCAGATTATTTCATGGAGAGTGACATATATATATATATATATATATATATATATATATATATATATATATATATATATATATATATATATATATATATATATATAAATTATGTATACAGGATGGCCAGCCACTTTCAAGAATTAAATTCCCTGACTTTTTATATTTTTCCCTGACTCAGTTATATTTTGAAGTGTGAACATTTAAGTTTTGTTGTTTGGGAGTAAGTAAAAAAAACCTTTAAAAAAAATTAAATTTTCAAAAAAGACATTTTTCCCTCATTTTCCTGACTAGAAAAAAATTCCCTGACTTTTCCATGATTTCCAGTTAGCTGGCCACCCTGGTATAATATTATTATAACAGCATGCAAGTGTATATTAGTATGCACCTTTTGATTCTTAATTGCCCTCTGCAAAATGCCTGAGGCTTGTAACATTTGCAAGGTAAATAGCTTACAAGTTTGCTGTATGCATCATTAGTTAGGCAATGTGATTGTAACACAACCTAAAGGTTCCTTAGGCAACATATAGCAAATCTTTACATTTACTTTTAATAATTTTGTTCTTGCGTGTATATATATATATATATATATATATATATATATATATATATATATATATATATATATATATATATATATATATATATATATATATATATATATATATATATATTAGGTACGCGCACTGAAATTTTTAAATTAATCATATAGTGCAATGTTATATATCATTAGAAAGGCCTTTAATACAGTATTTTAAAGGTGAAAAAATTATTAAAAACGAACAATTCTAAAAAAAGTTATAACGTTTTTAGTACCAAATTTAAGATATATGGAATTGTTGAAGAAACTGTTGTCAAAATAATTATTTTTTTCACTTAAATTATTATAACTTTGTCAATTTTTATCCAAATATCTATATCTTGGTATCAAAAGATAGGTGCACTAATGGGCTACAAGTTCATATAGGTGCCTGGACGTAGGGTGTATCTTGGGAGCCAGAGGGGGTAATGAAACACCATCTAACCCTTAAGAAAATACAAGTTTTTGTCAAAAATAAGCACTTTTTTAATGTAATTGTTAGATTTTATACATAAAATATTGCCATAACTTGATTCCAGAACACTGCCAAACAAAATAAGGTGATCTTAGAGTTGGCCGTAGATGTGGTTATGATGTTATAACACCCTAATACAATAATCATACATTCTAATAAATAATTTAATCTTTATTACAGTAATTAAATATTTTGTTAAAAAGTAAAAATATATTTTTTTACTATACAACATACATTAGTGATGTGCACACTAACTTTAGGGAAGGGCGTATGTCGCACCGCCCCCCCCCCCCGCCCCTGCCTCAACGATAACAAAAAATAAAAATAATTAAATCTTTATTACAATAACTAAATGTTAACAAGTAAAAATAATATTTTATTACTATTCAACATATATTATTGATGTACACATTGACTTTAAATAAAGGAAGTCTAATGCACCACTTCTCCCCCCCCCCTCCCTACCTAACAAAAAATAACGTCATCTTTATTTCAATAATCAAATGTATTGTTAAAAAGAAAAAATAATCTTTTATAACTATACAACATACATTAGTATTGAAAATATTGTTGTATTACATGAAGCAATATTTTTTTTCTATAGAACATACATTAGTGATGTACAATTTGAGGAGAGGAATGGTTTTCCCCCTTCCCCTCAACCAACGTAAAAAAGAAAACACATAGAAATGATATTTTCAACATTTTCGCATGCAATTATTAAAAAAAGAAAGCAAAATACAGAATTGTTTTACCAGATTGCACGAGTATACATTTTCTCATTTAAATAATCATATTTAACCAACCAACCTTATAAAAAACAAACAAACAAAAAAACAAATGTTTCGAAACATAGTAATTAATTTATGTCTTGGCTTTTAGTAAATGATTTAAATTAAGTTCCAATGCAACTAAATAAATCATTTTTAACAATAGACACCACGTGAAGGTAAGCCAGAGCCGCCTATCTTTTTTTTTTGCAAGCCACAAAACTTGCTATACCTATTTGCAAGCCACAAAACTTGCGGTACTTATTTGCAAGCCACAAAACTTGCGGTACACATTTGCAAGCCACAAAACTTGCTGTACCTATTTGCAACCACAAAACTTGCTGTATCTATTTGCAAGCCACAAAACTTGCTATACCTATTTGCAAGCCACAAAACTTGCTGTACCTATTTACAAGCCATAAAACTTGCGGTACACATTTGCAAGCCACAAAACTTGCTGTATCTATTTGCAAGCTACAAAACTTGCTGTACCTATTTGCAAGCCACAAAACTTGACTTAATTATTATACTAACTATTTTAAAATAAAATTACAAAGTTGTAACAAAAAATCAATATAGCAAATGACAAGAAATGTATATACATATTAAATGTAATAGTTTATTAAATTACTAGTTGCAAAAGATGACTAAGGAACTAAAGTTAAACATATTATAAAGTTTGCACATTAAAAACTAATAGTTGTTTAACTTACCAGGTGTAGCACAAGAGGTAGATACTAAAATTACAAAGTTGTAACAAAAAATCAATATTACAAATAACGAGAAATGCATACACATATTAAATTTATTATTTTTTTAAATTACTAGTTGCAGCAGCTGACTAAGGAACTAAAGTTAAACATATTGTAAAGTTTGCAAATTAAAAATTAAGAGTTATGTAACTTACCAGGTGTAGTACAAGAGGTAGATACTAAAATTAAAAAATTAATATTGCAGCAAATGGGAAATCCATACACGACAAGTAATAAATAAATAAGTAAGAAATGCATATTTATGTATATTTCTTTAATGGTTAATTGAAGTTATGCTATAATAACTTACCAGCTGTAGTCTGTGCAAATTGGCCTAAAGATAACAAAAAAGTTATATAATCAAAAAAAAAAAAAATATCTTGAAATTGTCAACAGTCAATAAAAATAACAGTTATCAAATCAGTTCTGCTTTACGTACAACAACCTATGTAACTATAAAAAAAGCAATAAAAAAAAAAAATAAAAAACATAAATTATATTACAGTATTTTAAAATTATATTACTGTATATTAGAAAAACACTAACAAGATACTTTTATAAGAATAAACATATTATTGTAAAAGTATCTTTGTAATTTTACAAAAATAAGCTTATTAATAATAAGCTTATTCATATAAAAATATCAATAATAATAATATTTTAAAATATCAATAATAATATTATTCTTAAAATATCAATAAAATCATAATATTATTCTAAAAAAATAATAATGTTATTCTAAAATTATCATTAATAATATTATTCTAAAAATATTTTGTCAAAAACTGTATTGGCTTAAGCCAATAAAGTTTTACTTTAAAGTATAATAATGTCATTTGTATATTTTTATATATATGGTGTATTTACAACATTGGCATCTGATACTATTAGTTAATAAAATATTCCAAAGTAGCGGTTTAATCTTAAATCCTAATCTTTTTTAATATATACTATCATTGGTATAACTTATACCAAAGATTAAGGTTTTTAAACTTATACTATAAAGTTAAAAACCTTAATCTTTGTTTACATATCATGATGATATGTAAACAAAGATTAATGTTTTAAAACTTATAACTTTTTTAAATAACAAAACAATAATGATAAGTTTAAAAACCTTAATCTTTGTTTACTTCATGATGATGTAAACAAACTTTGTTATTATCATGAAAAAGAAATTAACTTACTTTTTGAAGTCTTCTTTGTTATGACTTTTACCATTTTTTATTTAATAAAATAATCTAATATTAAAAATTAAATAATACAATGTAGTAAGAATTTTTTTGTTTACCATTCGCCACCCCCCTATCCTCCCCGTATTTCTCTTACCGATAAAACAAAAACAAAAACAAAAAGAACCGAATTTAGGTACCAAAAGTCCTACACTTCTTATACTATCTGCTCCTAATATTTTTGGCTGAAATTTGGCATGTACAAAGAAAATGCATGCAAAAAAGTTCCTGAATAACAAAAAAAGCGGAAACTTCATTCCTTCGATAAGAACTTAATGTGAGAACATCAATGAAATTTTCACGAAAGTTTTTAGCAAAACTAACCATAAAAAAGTTTAGTGGTTATAAATAAAAGTACTATAAAAATCAAGCCTAACCTTTCTTCTTTCCAAATATACTTTTTGTTTATATATGTTTCTAAAAAAAAACACCACTAAAAACGTTAGTCTAACCCTACTTCAAAAAAGCAGTATATTTAAAAAAGCACCTCGTTACATTTCTGCTCCCTAATATTTTTCGTTGAAATTTGGCACATAAATAGAAAATACATGTATAAAGGTGGCTGAACAATCAAAAAAGCGGAAACTTCATGCCTTCGACTACAAATTTATGTGAAAACATCAACCAAATATTCAGGAGCAAAATAATCCGTTAAAAAGTTTAGTAACCATACATAAAAGTTTAAAAAAAATAAAGATCAGCTTCTCTTCTTTCCAAAAAGTATCTATGTGTATATATGTTTCTAAAAAGAAACTCCACAAAACTACGTCTACCCCACGCTGCCTAAAAAAAAGTGAAAAAAACGAGTCACAAGATTTTATCACAAAAATCGGTTCAGTAAATGACGTAAATGCGCGTACCTATATATATATATATATATATATATATATATATATATATATATATATATATATATATATATATATATATATATATATATATATATATATATATATTAACTTAACGCTTAACTGTCGAAAAATACTTTGAAGACATTTTTGTAAATGCCATTAGACATTTTCACAACACCAGAACATTTGTATAAGATATTGCAATTACAAAAGAATATGTTAAAGTAAAAAAATATAAATAAAATAATAGTTAGCTCTATCATCTTGAACAAAATAATCATTGAATAACTTGTATAAGCATTGAATAACAAAATAAACATTGAATAAAAAGGTATTATGTGGTAGGGAAAAGTAAAAAAGTATGTACACTTAGAAAAAAAATTGTTCACCTTTCATTTTGGTCTTTTATGTTGCTTATTTGTTTTCACAAGAGATATTTTAAATATTTATTAATTATACAACTAATATTTATCAGTATAAAACTGATAGATGTTAGCTGAATCATTATTATTTTACTTTAGAGTCAATAGTTGTAAAAAAACTTGAAAGAAACTATGTCTGTTTTCATTTATACCATATTTACATATAAACAATCATTATGTATGTGATGCTGTTATTTAGTCTAAAACACTAAATACTTTAATGTAAAACTGCAAATAACTAGTTATCACCAAATATCCAGTGTTTTTTAAAGTTAGAGATGGCTTTTTCAAACCTTCACAAAGTGTAATTAAAGTTAGCAAAGCAACAGAACAAAACATTGTTATTAAGTGATATCAATTTTAATAAAGTATTGCATAGTTGATGATATTTCAGTTGTGGAACAATATAAACATGCCCTCAGAGTTTCAAAAATTAGAAAACCAATTACAAAAATGTTTGATACAATGTTTTTATCATGTTTTATACTTGTAAAGTTACTTTCCAGCTACTATTGCTAAGTAAGGTCGCATCAAGTTGTTAAAATAAACACCCAAAAGTAACCAGATTAAATATCAATTTGTCTTTTAGAAAAGTTTTATTTAGAATATCATGAATTCAATAAATTTAACAAGTTCATAGAAAGCAATACAAATTTTATTATTTCTTTATAGCGATATTTCTCTTCGTCGTTAATGTTCTGCGTGTTTTTGATTCCCTTTTATAATTTTTACACCTTCAAACATTTTAAATATAATAATATCATTGAAATATGTGACTTGGTCGAGTAGATATAAACGAAGTAAAAAGGTACATCTTCAAGCGCAATCACTGTATTTTCGGTATTCTGGGGCTTTCCAATATGGCGGCCGTACAAAATATTGGCTTCACTTTTGATATTAGAGATGCGCTATCCAGTTATTATAGAGATACGGCCCTGAGATAATATATTTCATCATATGTTTTATTTACTTATGATTTAAAATTCCATTATTTATTTAAAATTCCAAACTTAAATTATAGTTCTTAGTTTAATGATTTTGCATCGCTGCGCTTTAATGTCTTCAGAAACGTGAAGACAGTTTTTGCAAACTTTTTAAACTATTTAAAAATATTTAAAAATTTTAATAAAATACGCATAACATGAGAAGTATAAGTACAATTTTTGACAATCTGAAACACTTGTTTAATTGAATGAGTAAATATGTAGAAAATAAACTGTCGTAATAAAAAATATTTGTGATTTCACATGCATCATGCTTTTTGTGGCTCACACGTTATCCACAATCTAGGAATATACGCAGAAAAAGTAATCATTGAATGGGAAAAAGTAGTTGAGTAGGAAGGTAGTATTCATGGTGATTTTAAAAATTCTCAAAACTCTCGCACCTTATTATATGATATTTTGTATGAACTTTTAAAACTTACAAGATATAGGTATGGTGATCAGCGGAATGAAAAGCTGATGAATGGAAGACATTTTTGCGTAAAAAATTTTCAAAAAATTATATGGTTTCATTTCTGCATCATCGATTTAACATTATATTTGTACTTAGTGGAGCAACGTATTTTCATAAAGATCACCTTAAAGAATTTTTTTTCAATCTTGATGGGGCAAATTTTCTTCATAAATTAATTAGGTACAATATTGACAACATCATTTTTCACGCTTCAAGCTCTAGGAAATTTTAATAAACTAATATTAGGATCTCTTTTTCGTATTATTAAAGATGAGGGTCATATTTTTTCCTTGAATACCGTTTAATCGCAAACGTTCAATTATTTTGTTTCTTGTTCTTCTGATGCATCAAAAATGTTAAGTGGTACATTTTTTGATGTCAAATATCTCACCAAGGATAAAGTGTTTGATCATTTATTTTCGAATTGTAATGACCCACTTTTGGATGTCTTAACACAAAAATATCTTGAAGTTATATGTTGCACATGTTCGGTTATGATTCATACTCAGTTAAGAGACCAATTGAAAAAGAAACAGAAAAACTTGGAAAGAGTGCGTTTCAGATGATTTGAAAAAGTTACATTTAAGGAAAGAAGATCGTGTATGTTGGAGAAACGGCATTATGAAAAACATCCAACCCGTGCAAGCACGGAAACAAGGACGCTAAAACAATGATGGAAAGGTTTCTATGAGAGGTCAGTACGAAGAGATAATCCGAGGTAAGGGGTCGTCCATAAAGTACGTGCGCTCATAGGGGGAAGGGGGAGGTCTTCAAAAAGCGTACGAAAGCTTATGGGGGGTGGGGGGGTGGTTTAATTTAAAAGTACGTACTTCGATTTTCTAATTTTACACAGTTAACCAGCTAGTCAGTAGAAAAGTTAAAATTCTGACTAAAGATCCTAGTTTGCCAACATAAAAAGATGTATTGTATAGGGAGTAGAAGGTATAGTTTCTCTCTATGAGCACACATGCATGGGCGCCCGCAGAATTTTTTGATGTTCCAGATAACTCACTTCCACACATTGTGCAAACTCCAAACTTAAGTATGTTTATACCTATGCCACTTGAAGAGGCCTTGCAAAAAATTGTTATAGTGTTAGTCTAGGAACCAAAAAGTCCTCAAATGCTTGCATCCCCTCCCCTGCCCAAACATGAGGGTACTAATGTAGTAAAATTTTCCGACCCCCGACCCCAAAAAAAATAAATAAATGAGGAGGTGTACATTTTGCATTGACTTAACTTTTGTAATTTACAGTATTTTTCAACGAAATTCAAATTCTGTCAATAAATTCGAATTTAGTTTTAGATTAAAGTTTTTTTTAGTTAAAAATTTTACTACATAAGTGCCGTCACGTTTGAGCAGGGGGGCAAGCGTTTCAGGGCTATTTGTTGACAGGTCTCCGCCACCCCAATTTTTTACAAGGTCTCCTCATTTGGCATAAATATAAACATACTTAAGTTTGGAGTTTTCACATGTGTAAAAGTGTCCTATCTGGGACATA